AATTTCACAAAGCGTGTTGAGATTATTTTGAATGAAATATTGAAGTTTATAATTAAGTGTTTTGGCACACCACGCCGAGTGGCCCTATGCATTTTTCTAAAGTCGGGTTTTATTCTGGCATCGTGAGTTAGTGTTCGACAAACGCGGCGGAGCGTTCATTTAGATTAATTTATTTTTCTCATTATTACAGCTAAAATAACTTAATAGGCGACTCCGTAATTTTTTGGTCATACAGATAAGAGTAGAGTAGCTTACATCATTCAAAACTGTAAACTTGTATTCATATTAGGCTAACGACAAAAACAGTATATCTGTGTCTCTGTCTCCGGGAAAATGAACCGAAAGTCTCTTCAGCTCAGTCACGATAAGAAATCGGCTAGGTCTAAAGCCTTTAAATGTCTAAATATTTAGGCTAATAAATGTTATCTGATTGTGTAGGCTAATCCATATGAAAACGAGAGGTAGGCCTACAGAGGATCAACTCAAACATGCAATGTAAGCGCTTCCCAATGAGAAAATGACAAGACAAGGGTGAAAATCTCGCTCTAATTAAATGTAGGCTAAATCGCCCTGAATTAAAATGTAAAAACAGATCAAATAATGTATTTGTCGAAATGTTGCGATATTGTTTCATTTAAGTTCATAATTATTATATAAATGTTATTTAATTTAGCAGCATTACCACGAAGCACCGTGTTTCGATATTTATTTGAATAATACAAAATAAAATAAAAACTTAATTCACAAATTGCATGCCTGGTTGTAAGGATCCAAAGATCCCTGTAGACTTTAATATTGAGTTGAACATTTTGTTCATGACAACAAATTAACAAGCGTTTTTTTCAGATTATATTTAGTTTTGCTTGGAAAAAGCTGTCCCAAACCAGTTTTATTTCATCAATTATTGAAATAATGAAATATTTAGTAATAAACTTGACAGAAATATCACTAGGCTACATGTAACTTAAATAATTTAATTCCTTCATTATCAACACTGTCTAGAATAGCGATTTAAGTGTGAATTGCGACTTCTCTTTGTGTTAAGTCAGCCTCAGACTCCGATAGCTGTGGGGGGGTTGGAGGGTCAGTTGCTGGACAAAGGTGTTAATGTTCCTCTTTCAAATGGAGAGTGTCGGATAGCCAGCCTGATGAGCAGGCAAAATTATTGTAAGGATAAATCTGTGTCCAAATGTAGGCCCCATATCTTATTAAATTATAAATATTGTAGTTTATTTATTGTAGCCTATTTAAAGTTTTTTTCAAACAAAATTTCAATTGAAGTTATTGTAAGGTGAATTCAACAAGGCATGCTGTGTCTTTGAAGCAACAATTAAAGGCTAAATAATTTTTTCGTGATTTGTATGGCTGACACGCAGCGACATATAGGCCTACAGTATTATCAGCTGTATGATGTGTTTTTACCCTGAAATGTTTAATTTCGAGAGAGACCCGGTGCGCGCAGCGAGGGAGACTAAATAAACTTGTTAAAAAGAGATCCAGCGTGAGAGAGACAAAGAAAAACGCATGTTTTTAATTTAATTATGTTTCTTTGGACAATTTTCGTTTTGTATTGTTTTAATTGTTTAATTTAGCTGTAATTTCTTTGGCAATACAAATTTAAAATGTCGCAAGAATAAGATTAGCCTAGTGTTTCTTATTTTGCATCGCAAAAGAAATAAACTCTAAACCCGATGCAACCCTGTTTTAAATTTAAAAAAACTGTCCCGACCCTTTATTTAAACCTTGAAATGTTCGAACTTGGTTTCAAACTTAAGTAATTTTAGTGTTCTTTTACATTACACAATAATTTAGCAGACTAAAGACGAGCTTTTTCATTTTCTGACGCAATCGGCTGACAATCTTCCTTCATCAGTTTTTGTCGTTTGTGCAGCGGCTGCGGTTCTACAGGAATGTAGCAAATTTATGTTGTAATGATAATTAAACAAAACTCTTGACTTTAAATAAGTAAACAGTTATAAACAGTTACTATTTAAGCATCAAGGTGGTAAAATATAAACGCTGTAGGACAACATCGGTTAACAACATATAGGCCTATGCTACTTTGAGATTCGATCTCGGGTCGATTGAAGCTCCTCGAAGCTCGTGTTGTTGCGTTGATCACTGAGCTACCGTCTGTACGCTGTTAAAGTTGTAAAGCCTCATTGATGTAGCCTAAATGTTTTTATTGCAATGTTTTATGTTGAAATGTTTTCATTATTTATTCAATTACATTTCAGTAGCCTAATTTCAGTATTGTGATTATGAATTATTTTAGCTACGTTTCACTTGTTGAATTCATCTGCTACCAGCTTTCAATCGCTCTGAATGAGCCGCGGTGCGGTAGCAGATTACGCATTAGGGAGAATAAACCGGAATAAACTAACACTTTTATGATTGTAGCGCCTCTTAGCGGTAAAAGGCAGCAAATACACCACACATTTTACCGCCGCGGTGGAACGGCTGATGTGGGCATTGTCATGGCTTGCCTCGACATTTGCGTTTGAATAGCGCGCGTCCTCCGTGGGCGTGTCAGATTAACGCGTAATGAAGTGTAATGAGCTGGGGAAAAAAATACTGACAGCACTCTCTTTTCATACAGATTGCATAAACTGAGAATATTTGTTTTTTATATAAATTACTTCATTTAAAAGAAGAGAATTCAAGCTTCATAAAGAAAAATCTCTCGTGCCTGTGTGACAAGTAATCGCGGAGTTACAGTTAATCTTAGGACGCGTTTCAGAATGGACTTCACTGACAGAGAGAACGCAGAACTCGCATCATGTTTGTTTTTCTTTATTTGGTGAAAAGCACAACACTTTGTTTTTATTGTGAGTATCCACAAAAAAAATAGAAACTTAACAGGATCTAATGATGTATAACACTTAAATGTAAGATCAAAATCAACCGAGTATTTTGAGTCTCTTTTGCACTGATAAGAAAAAAAGCGAGCAAATCACGCCGGCGTGATTGCCGACCCCAGAGGGTTAAATACTGCCCACTGGTTTCAGCACTGGCGTTCCATCCTGTTCTCTAACAGGACCTCCCGTTCATGCTTAGGGCCTCTGTGGCGGCCTTAGTGCCCTCCGCAAGCTTCTAAGGGTGAGCTTGTAGGGACATTCCCTCTAAAAAACTCCATGTTCCTGTAGATTGGAGGATGAATCCTGTCATCTAGCCTATTGGCATCAGGCTGAAGGGTTATCCCTGGCACCCGTCATGTCCTGTGGATGAGTTATATGAGAATATATAAGAATTTTGAGTCTGCTTCCTGTTCGTCCTACTCCCTGGAAGAGCGGTGGCATTGCCCCCTCTGACTCGAGGGCGTGGGAGCCACTCTATCTAATCTCTGCCTTGGCACTGAGATTCCCTGGGTATTCATCATATATAGAATCTGTTTGAGTATGCTTCCTGCTCGTCCTGCTCCCTGGAAGAGTGGTGGTGCTGCCCCCTCTTACTTGTCAGCGCGGGGGCCACTCTACCTTATTTTTGCCCCGGCACTGAGGTGCCTGGGGGCAATATCATGATTCTTCAGGTATTCCATCCTCCATCGCATGTGTCAGATGGTCAAGGTCATAGCCTTGGAGGCCCTTAGCTTAGGCCTCGGGCTGGGAGGAGTTAGTCCATCTAGATATGTATCAAGGGCTAGGAGATATATCCCTTTGTTAATTAGACAGTGGTTATCTGAGGAAACCTTTCATAGTTGATGTACGAGGTGCACCTTGGCCTTCACCTCTTATCTAATACTTGCTACTGTCCGGGGTTCCCTTCCATGGGGTTAGCTGAGCCTTTGGCTCCAGACCTTCCCTTGTTACACCAAATCTTATGACAGTCTAGTTTGGATCTGCCCTCTACTCATTCCTATGGTCCTTGAGTGTGCCAGATGCTTCACACCAGGGTGTATTTCTCTCAGTGTGGTGGCGTGGGTATTCGTTCCCCAAAGCGTCGAGTATCGATGCAGCGGGAGTTCCCTTACGAAAGGGAACGTCTCGGGTTACTATTGTAACCCTCGTTCCCTGAGTAGGGAACGAGACACTGCATCCCTCGGCCACACTTTCCGCGCTCCTGAGAACGACTTTGCTTCGACCAATCAGAAGCTAACACTTCCTGTTTCCTGAGACCTTTTATAGCTTCCGGATCACGGTCACATGCGACGTCATGGCGCTACACCAATCGAGATTGGAATGATTCCATAGTTGACTTCAGACGCTACATGCCGAAGGCATTCCCCAAAGCGTTGAGTATCGATGCAGCGTCTCGTTCCCTACTCAGGGAACGAGGGTTACTATAGTAACCCGAGACGTTCCCCCACTTCTGAGAAATTCTGATTTCTGTGAACATGATGCTGAGCTAGAAGTCTTCAAAGGAGTTCTAAGTTTGTGCCTAAGTAGAGCGCAGTCTCGGGTCGTGGGACGTGAGAGAATGGCGCGAGGCCGGTGGCGTGAGTAATAATGAATGACACCTGTGAGACGCACCGGTCTCGCATCTCTCACGGAGGAGCGACAACAGTGAAGATCGAGAGAGGAACAGGCCTGATTTTATGTTGTGTTTTGTTTTTCTTTTGTGTAGCCAGCAGTCGTCTGTGAGGGGGTGCTGACTTATACTTTCATTTTTGTATTTGTTTATTTATTGTATTAAAACCTTTAAATGTTCGCCGGTTCCTGCCTCCTTCTTCCCATAACAACGAACCCCGTTACAATCACAATTTATTTATTCAACGCAGAAGAAATTGATTGAGACTCATGGAACCATCAAAATCCTTCTTCAGCAACTTCACGACATGCTTTCACTGCAATGGCCATCCAAGTATACATTTAATGAGGGCCTCTGAAAATAATAAGCTGATGGATCTTTTCATAGTTAAATGGATCTTTAGTTCCATTTCCTGCTTCCGGTTTTATTCTGTCACTTAGGATTTTACCCAAGTATGTGGGATTGTATATTGATTGTGTGTTTAGAATAGTTATGTTTGTGGTTTAGTTAATAAAACTTAAGCACAATACGTATTTGGTTCTGATTCTCTGCTAGCAACAAAGTTTATTTTACGATTTAGATTTTGACTACAGGCTCTTAGTAGTACTGTACAATAAGAAAGACATTTCCCTCCCCCGGAAATTAACATTTCTTAGAATTAATAAACAATTAACACGAGTGTTCACAGGATCAAACAGGTTGATTGATAGTAATATTAATTTTACTACATTAAATTAATTATATTAACTGATCCAAATATTCATTATTAATTATTACAAATTATGATAGATTATTAATAGTTCTTTTGAGCTAATATGCTACAAACCCCTCAAAAGTCAAAATTGAGGCATGCTTTTTACAAAATTATTATCTATATAACTTGTAAATACTTTACATTCTGTAAAAGTCTGTTGCTGGTTCATTATTTTACTATCAGACATGACCTCATAAAATACATGAAATAATCACAATCAATACTTTGATTGAAAAGGCACCAATCAAAGGGTTGCTATACATACAATTTTAATTGCTATTTCATCACATAGATAGATGATAGATAGATCAGACTCTACAGCTGAGTGACAGTGAAATCAGAAATGTCTCCCTGCATCACAGCCTGGAACGGGACAAGCCAACATCTGATAACTGGAGTTGAAGGAAGTGTGTAGTCTGTGACATCCTCCCTACACATACATTCATAGATTAAAACAGATATACAATAAAGGAAAAATCAGCTGTGTGTCTGAGCACTTTTCATCACTTACAAGCTCGCCTTCACTTCCTGGTCCATTATCTTTAGAGTTGGTGTTTGTGATCCTCGAACCTCCTCATATAAAGCCTCAGCTTTTCCTTCAATATTATCCACAGTTATTGAGATTGTATCCCATGTTGGTTTAATAAAGCAAGTTACAAATCAAAATGTACCATTTAATTGCTCACCCAGCTAACAAACAAAACAAAAATATGTCTAAAGATAGTTTTGCTAACGTTCCCATTAAGTTAAAAAATATTATTTCTGAATGTTCTCTGGACATTCAAAACGTCCAGTTTTTTTTTTAAATTTTCCGAAAACTCTTCTTTTTTTTTTCTCTTGGTTATATGAATGTTAAGAGAACATTCCATTTTATCATTCTTCGAACATTAGGTAACCATTACTTTTGAATATTCTCTGAACATTATGAATCAAGTGGTAAAATTAGAGGAATGTCCATCTAAAATCTTTTTTTAAAAATAAAGAATAAATGAACAATATTTAAATCATGACAACTCTCTAATTAGTTTTAGCATGTCATTGAATATGGGGATGTTATTGTATTTGGTCACAAGATCTGCTACACTGCTGCTGCTGCAGAGCAAGTATATGGACACAGACACACTCCTGTCAGCAAGTAAGATATGCTTCAGCTGCATAAATAGACACATAAATACAGTAGCAGATGTAGACAGGTGGGGCAGGTGGAGGTGGAGGGTTTCAGTGGAACATTGATAGCGCTCTGCAGGGCTAGCTTACAGCAAACCAGACTATTTAAATGTAGAGCAAGCAATATCATTGGCTGCAGGATCAGCAGAGTCCAATCAGCTTGTGCTATGTGGAAATTATTTAATTGCTTGCAGACTGCATGTAAACCTATCAGCCCACGACCTCTAGAGTTTCATGACTGAACTATATAAATAACATTTTCATGGTAATGTTTTTGAGAACATTATTAAAGACCAGATAACTATGAACAAACATTCCATTAATGTTACTGGAAGAACATTTGTTCATAACTTTGAGAAAACCTTGCCAAAACGTTAGCTTAAGTTCTGAGAACGTTCCCTGTTAGCTGGGTCAATTGTAAAGTGTTAATACATGTTTAAATGTTTAACCAGTGAAGTACTCTTACCTAAAATGCCCCTCAAACTGACATCTTTTGGCTGTTGCCGAACAGCAGGCCACAGAAACACTTCACCATTTTTCTTGTGAAGAAGAATAACAACATGTATGTTTCCCATGGTAACGTCCATTTCATTTCTTCGTAATATCAGTGACACGCTGTTGAAACAGAGAAACTGATGAATGAATTCTACTTCACAGAAAGAAGCCATAACATACACAAATGTAGTAAAACACTTATAGTTTGAGTATATACCCCTCTGTATTGTGTTGAGTAGGTTCCTGGTCCCACAAAAACTCAACCTGATTCTGGCCATCTTGGTATCTGATAGATCTTGTGTTTATTGTCAGGTGATGGTTTGTTTTGTAATGAAAGGCAATTTGAATGAATCCCTGTTGTCTAGTCATGAATTGTCCATTCATAGAGAACTCTAAGACACACAGAAAGTCACACAGTATGAGTACATACAAAACATTCAATAAAAAAAAAAAAAGGATGACTTCCACAAGGATGTGCATGAAGAGTAAATGTGTAATAGTTACCGGAAGCAGAATCCTGTAGCAGTCTGAGTTTCTGAGGAGCAGGAACGTCAAAACACAGTGGCTTAGACTGACCAGCAGCAGGCAGCAGGAACCGGTTGCTACCAACTCTTGGAACTAAGAGAAAACATTAGCAAATGCTGTATCATAATTATTTTAGAAAATTGACTTACATAATAAGTATGTTTGAGGGATCTTTATGTACCAGACATAGTAAGGAGAACACTCTCTTCCTCTGCACTCTCCTGTAGCATTGTGGGCATTTGAGCTAAGAAGGTGCAATTGATCAAATTAGACTTTCTTGACACAAGGCAGAATCAAAATTACAGCGTATTCATACGCACCATAACTGGAGATCATCAGCTTGTGACCTAAAAAAGGGGGGTTTAGTCATTAAAAAGTCAGACTATTTATAATACAGCTTTTCATTCTAAGTCAGTTTATCAATAATTTACTGACCGAAGCACTCAATAAATAATGAAAAAAGGTCAATGTACCAAAGCATTTTGAAATAATTAAATAGAAAAATAATAATTGTAAATGTAATTAAATATTATTATAGTAATTCAAATGTACCGGATATTATAATATTATAATTTTTCTCAAATATTTAGTAAATAATAATAAATAATATTTAAAAAAAATACATAATACAAATAATTACTTTCACAAAAAATATGCTACATTTAAATCATTTTCTTTTCATGATTAAAATGTATTTCCAAATATTGCTTTTAATATTGAAGGGATAGTGAAAATGAAAATGAAGGCATAATTTACTCACCCTGGTGTTGTTCTGATGCAGTATGCGGTTCTTTCTTTTATGGACTACAAAAGGAGTGTTTTTTATAAAAATGTTCTGCTTGTGCTCATCCATATATAGGCACTGAATAGCAACCAGAATAAATCTGTCTAAATAAGATGCAAAAGTATGACAGAATGATCCCATGTTACACGTGTTGTATATTACAAGTGCTCTGGGGTATTCGATAGGGTTTGGTGAAAACAAAACAAAATTGTATGTATTATTTAAGGGAAATCCTGACTTTGACCATTGGTCTTCTGTGCTCGACTGCGTGTTTGTGAGACCCTATTAGCCCCGCAGTGCCCAGGAAAAACATACAAGTTGTGAGAAATCAAGATTCATAAAAACTGCAACATGAAATATAATGCCTAGAAATCGCAAAAAGGTATCCATGTACTTTCTCTATGACAGAACTGACAGTTAACTGATGTGAACTTGATAACTTCTTCTTGTGATGAACAACAGATATATTAACCTCAAAGAAGAAGGTACATTAATTGTATTTCATGTTGCGTTTTTTATTAATCTAGATTTCTCACAACTTGGGTGTTTTTCTGTGCGAGTCGGTGTCAACTGGGGCGCTAGTAGAGTCTCACGAATGTCATGCACAGAAGACCAACGGCCAAGGTCAGGATTTTCGCTAAATTATACATTACATTTCATTTTTGCTTTTTATCAAACCCTAATGCCCCAGAATACTTGGAATATACAACAAATGGGATGGGATCATTATATGATGCTTTTGCATCTTTTTAAAAAAGTTTTATGCTGGTTGCTATTTATCCCCATTATATGGATGAGTGTAAGCGGGACTTTTTTTTAAATGCTCATTTTGTGGTCCATAAAAGAAAGAAAGGCATACAGCATTAGAACAACATTAGGGTGAGAAAATGATGACTTCATTTTTATTTTAGGGTGAACTATCCTTATAAGAGGCTTCATTTCTGAATCGCACCTAATGCCTTATTTTATTTATTCTAATTTTATTCTCTGCACTTTTTTATGTGGATTTTGCTTTTAATAAAGCAAATTTGCAGTTATTTTTTGTAAAAGCAAAAACAAAGTAACCAGTGATAAACACATTCTCGAGAAAGTTTTTTCAACTTTTATTAGAAAAAAGGCATACCATGGATCGCTGGATAACCAGGAGGTGGACCAGGTGTACTGAACCGCATGGGCAGACCGGGCAGACGACGCCGACTGTGCTTACCAGGCCGACCAGGCCGACCAGGCCGACCGTGCAGACCAGGCCGATGGGGACTGAAATGACTATATCCTGGTACTGGGATATAAAACAAGTGGTGAAAATATCAATTTAAAGGCAGATGCAGTTTATTGAATTTTGCATAAAATGAAAAATCACCCCATCTCCTTTTTTAAATGCATGTTATTTAAAGTGCCCCTATTATAGATTTTTGAAAATTACCTTTCATGTAGTGTGTAACATTGCTCTAAGTGAATGAAAATATCCGGCAAAGTTCTCTTTCTAACATTCGTTCGGTATCTCACTATGGGTACGCCTCTGGGCGTGTCCGATCGCGGAAGCACCAATTACACCACGTCTGCCAACTATGGCAGACCAATCGCTGCAGCGATCAGGGAGTCCCGGCTCCCTGTATATAAACGCAGCTACCTGCCGTTTCGTCATTCTCGCTCTCTTCCCCGTGGAAGATTTCGGAAGCTGTCCTCAGCAGACTTTGGGAACTATTTGCTTGACTGTTTTGAGACGGAGTCGAAAGGTAACGTCCCAAACGCTATATTTTCCTTAGGTCGTTGAGTGACTTCGTCACTTAAGAGTACGATAACTAACGTGTCAAGACGAGTTTTCTTGCTCTTAAATTCTCTAATCTTTTTCCAAGTTTTTCTGGGCGCTTACCACGCATCAAAAGGACAAGGAAAATGATAGCTCTCTAAATCGCAGCACAGCTCCGTACCAGTTGTCACGTTGGGTGAGAACTCACCGTACGAAGAGAGTGCTAGTTCCATCATGGACACCGCGATAGAACCGGAGAGCCCTGGAGGAAAAGGTCGCCCTCCACATCCGTGTGCTTGTGGAATGTGGATTTCTGCTAAGGATGCACACAGCCTCTGCATCTCCTGTCTGGGCGCTAAACACGCGCAGGCAGTGCTGTCAAACCCCGAGGGATGCCCGCACTGCGCTACGTTCTCGACTAAGACCCGAGAAAGAAGGCTCCGCGTGGCAGTTGGTGGAAAATCGGACCCATGCCTCTATGCTCAACCCAGAGAGGAACCCATGGATTGTTCCCGGACCACCACCTCATGGGCAGAGATGATGGAGAAGGTGTCACCCGTCCTTCCCCCGCTGTTCGAGGATCCGTTAGCGGGTGAGGAAGATGACGATGATGAAGTGTTGTCGAACATCCTCGAGGACGAGGACGACGACGATGAAGATGCCATTCTTCCCCCGAACCAGTCCAGGCCACCGAGTGCACAGGATGAGAGTTCACCTTCCCCTGTACAGACGGATTCAGATCTAATCGAGGTCTGTCGCAGGGCCGCGGCTAGATTATCGATCGACTGGCCATCCCAACAGACAGGTCAAGGGGCTGAAAGAGACCTGTACGATGGAAAGAGACTTCCGTCACGTCTCCCGCCAGCAAGGCAGTTCATCCCAGCCGTCCCGGCCTGTGTGACGGAGATGAAGAAGTTTTGGGACAAGCCTTTTTCTCATCGAGTGCCCGTCAAGGGTTTCTCGAGGCTTGATGTTCAGGGAATGGAGGATCTAGGTATGGGGGATCCTCCCCCGGTGGAAACTTTGGTTGCAAATCACTTGCACCCGGGCCGCAGGGCGGCACTCTCTTCAACCGGAGCGTCGCTGCCAGGGAAAACAGAGCGCTTCGCCGCCTCTGTTTTTCAGAAAATTTACAAATCAACTGCACTGTCTGTCCGTGCTTTGAACACGACGTCCCTCTTTACAGCCTATCAAGCGGAGCTATTAGAGGAGATGGGTCGTCAACTGGACTCCGGATCTCCCAACCCAGTGCTCTGGGAGGAGATATGCGTCATCGCAGATTTGAACCTGCGCACGTCCCGCGGAGCAGTTCAAAGTTGCGGACGGAGCATGGGCTTAGCAGTTGTGGGTGAGAGATCGCTGTGGCTGGGTTTGTCAGGGCTCTCTGAAAAGGAGAAAGCAGAATTTCTGGATGCCCCTATAGATGCCATGTTCGGCGCGACGGTAACGGCGATGCGGCAGCAGTGTGACCAGCGGAAGAGGGAGGGAGAAGCTTTCCAGGTCTGTCTCCCTAGAAAGCCGGCGGCTCGGCCTTATCACCCGAACCGGCCGAATTTCAGACCGTCAGGCAGAGGAGGGCATTCGGATTACCAGCCTTCCCGCTCTGCTCCACCATAACAGCCGAGCAACACGGCCCCACAACCCGGTTTCGTTAGACCTAAACAGTCTTTCGCGGCTGCAGCAGCAAAACACAGATCGCCCGCCCCCCAGGGGAACAAGAAGAGGCGGTCGACCTGATACGTCAGTTCAGCATCAGAAAGGGTTGGGAGACAGCACCCAGGGTTTCTCTGTCCCATCCCTTCAGAACGATTACTCTCTCCCTCCCGCGGGGAAAAGGAGAAGGAATTCAGAGGTAAAATGTGTTTGTGTGGACAGTTCAGAGTCCAATGTGTGCGGGAATGTGGCCACCGTTCTGCGAGTGCCCCTCAAGAGATCGTCTCCCCCTCCACCTTCGAGGTCTGTTACGAGGGAAGAAGGTCTAACGTTCACAAGCAGTTTTTCAAAAATAAATTTTCTTCTGACGCATCCAGGTCAAATACCGAGGGCGCAGAATGTGAAAAAAAGAGAAAAAGATCACAAAAGAATAAAACAATCACAAATAAAGACCAATATAACTCAGTCACTGGAGCGGTCTTCCCCCCCTTTGCCGCTAGAGTGTGCTGCGGCACCTCTAGTGAACGAAGACGGGAAGGGCCCACTCGCTGCTCAGACAGTGAACAGTTCATCCCTGGGTATTAACCACCGTAGAGAGGGGATACAGGCTTCAATTCGCTGTAAAACCTCCTCTGTTCAATGGAGTGGTAATTTCAGTGGCCAAAGGGGAAGCAGCTCTGGTTTTAGAGGAAGAAATAGCCTCTTTAATGAAAAAGGGAGTGATAAGAGTGATTCCAACAGAAGAGAGCCACAAGGGTTTCTACTCCCGTTATTTTGTGATTCCCAAGAGAGGGGGAGGTCTCCGTCCCATTCTGGATTTACGGGTCCTCAACAGCCACCTCAGAAAATACAAATTCAAAATGCTGTCTATCAGAACGTTGTGTAAAAATTAGTGCTGGGCCGTTATCGGCGTTAACGTGCTGCGTTAACGTGAGACTCTTATCGGGCGATAAAAAAAATATCGCCGTTAATCAAAGTTGGGTTGGGATCATAAATAGCTTTTTCGAATATCGTTATATTTTCACGCAATTCTAATGTGTAGTATGACGCCGCGCCTACTGTCACAGATCGCGCAGTAGGGTATTTTCCTGTCAGGGACACAAGGTGTACTTTTACTTTGTTACGTTGGGCGACGTTCCTCTCGTTACTTTATTTTAATGCAATACGTTGTTAAATGAGTTTATTCCAAGCGCGCTGTGTCCTTTGTATGGGCATGAGCGATGCTCATTTACAAATGAATCACTCTTTTGAGTCGATTCTGTTCAAAGACTTCATCAAACAAGTTGTCAGATGATCTGTCTAAATCGGTTCGCGAATCAGTTGATCTGTTCAGTTCCTCGCGCACTGAATCGTCTGAAGCGCTTTCAATTCACACTCGGAGTCGAAACAGGAAGATTTAAGAGCATCAAGAGCGTTGGATGAAGTGGCCGATCTACAGTCTAGTCTAGAAAATGCAAATCTGCAAATGCATCATATTTTTGCCAGCGATGAAGATCTTTATTAGTTGAACATCTTCGTAAGCTGTCTGTGAATGAATGATTCCACAGGACGATACATTCGATTTCATTTCATTCAGGTAATACATTGTGTGTGTATTGCGCGTGTATTGCGCAGTGGCATTATCACACGAATAGTTTACATTGATTGAAACTAATTTGTTTAAAAATGAGGCTATTGCAGTAACAAGGCAGGTTCACATAAAATTCTTATGACATATGATGACATTATTTTTTGATCTAACGAGCATTGGCGATGCAAAAACGGACTGTCGTGCGTATTGTTTTTCTTCTTCTTCCAATTAGCCTACTATGTTAAAAAAAAGGACGAAAACATGTTACTTGTTCAATTAATAAACAGTTTGTTTGATGACAAATCGCTAAAGATGAAATTGGCCTCCCTTTCTGTCATTGCCTTTTTTTTTTTTTCTTTTTTTTTTTTTTTTTTTTACGATATTCGACTTTTGCTCCTCGATTGTCGAATGGCATTTTTGGCAGAAATGCACACCCCTACGCGAGGCAAACTATTCTCAAAGACTTACTTTTAGTCATTATTTGGGTAGCACACATATTCTGAATGCCTTCGGGAGAATTCAAATGAGCCATTTTAATCTAGATTAATCTAGATTAATTTCAATATTAATCTAGATTAATCTAGATTAAAAAAATTAATCTATGCCCACCTCTAGTAAAAATATTCGGCAAGGAGACAGGTTCACCTCGGTGGATCTCCAGGACGCATATTTTCACATTGATATTTATAGATATTCACATAGATAAACCCGGAGATGGACGGAGCTGCTCTTCCCACGGAGGAGAGCCAGGTGGAGAAACTTTGAGCCAATTTCTGTTACGCCTCTGGCTGTGATACCCAAATTCTCTGTAAGAGAATTCTCTGGGTCCCAGGAAGGTGCGGATGGTGTGTGCGACGCTTTACCTTGCCACCCTCATCCCCATCTCCTATCGCCAGCAGGCAGTGGTGTGCAGTTTGAGGATGCAATGCCTTCTCATGCAACCCTGTCGGGACCCTGTGCTCCACCATACTGCCCCACTGTGATACGTTGGTAGTCCCCCTGACCCCGCTTGTATGGTGTGTGGAAGCCTGGATAGCACTTCCCAGCCCGTGTCGCTGACTCATTGGTCTATTCGATGCGATTCAGTTCGCCCGGCGGTCAGCAGTGTGAGGTTCACCTCAGTGGCAGACAAGGATGCTCCTGTCCTGCATGTGGAGATTGCAGCCGATATGAAGACAATCTCGGACCTGCATGTCTTGAATCGGGCCCTTCACAAGCTCCCATTCAAGAAGCTAACGCAGAGTCGCATCTCCGAATACATTCGTCCCCAAGAATGGTTTGCAGCGATCGACCAGAAGGACACATACTTTCGTGTCTCGATTCTCCCACGACACAGACCGTTTCTACTCTTTGAGTTAAAGGGATGGGCATGTCAGTACAAAGTCCTCCCCTTTGGGCTGTCCCTGTCGCCTTGTGTCTTCGGGGCGGCAGTGGCTCAGTGGTTCATGTAGGTTGTCTACAAACCGGAAGGTTTGACCAAGTGTCGAGGTGTCCATGAGCAAGACACCTGACCCCAGCTGCTCCCGACGAGCTGGATGGCGCCTTGTATGGCTGACACCGCCGTCGGTGAGTGAATGGGTGAATGTGAGGCAAAATTGTAAAGTTCTTTGTTGTAAAGGTGTCCATGAGCAAGACACCTTACCCCAGCTGCTCCCGACGAGCTGGATGGCGCCTTGTATGGCTGACACCGCCGTCGGTGAGTGAATGGGTGAATGTGAGGCAAAATTGTAAAGCGCTTTGGTGGCCATTGGGTCTGTGAAAGCGTTATATAAATGCAGTCCATTTACCATTCACGAAGGTCACAGAGGAAGCCCTTGCTCCTCTGAGGGAGCACTGTGTTCGCATTCTCTCGAGTTGCTAACAGTGTGTCTTTTCCCGTGCTGCATTGGATCGCGGCTAAAGGCAAGCATGCCATGTGCTGGTGCAGACGGACAACACCATGGCCGTTGTGTACATCAACCATCAGGGTGATCAAAGCTCCCGTCGCATATCGCAACTCGCTCGCCATCTCCTCCTATGGAGTCAGAAGCCTCTGAGGTCGCTTCAAGCCATTCATATCTCAGGCAAGCTCAGTCGTGCAGCCGACAAGCTATTATGACAGCCCACGCTACCGGGATAATTAAGACGCCACCCCCAGATGGCCCAACTGATTTGAAGACACTTCAGAGCCACACAGGTAGACCCTAGGTAGACTCTTTTGTTGAAGGTCAAATGTTTGCCCACCTTTATTTACAAGGTTTGTAAGATACTAAAACTTCTCAGTTCTCACCTGGAGGTCTGGGTTCCTCTCCTCCCTCTTTAGGTTTGTCGGCAACTTCTACTTCATCTTCCTGTGGCTTTGTGACGACCATAGAGGTGAGGGAGGTGACAAACTGGTATTTCAGGGACAGTTTGAGAGCTTCTTCCTTTTCATCCTCTTTCTCCTGTCCTTTAAGAAGCACTCTGAGACAGAAAGATGTCATCAATGTCCAGCAAAAAAAGCAGAATGTCATATCACTCAATAAACTTACTGCCTTTCCAGAATTTGCTTCACTGTAAGGTAGGCCCACAGTCTCGGCATGAAATCCTCATTCTCAGGTGGGACATCACTGGGGTCTTTTGCCATTACAGTTTCCTGATACGTCACGTTATTGCCTTTCTGCTCAGAAATAATAATACTATTGAACATTTTCATCAGGAATGCTGTCATCACCCCTTTCATCAATAACTTTCTCAGAAAACAAAGTGACCATTATACCAAACTTATAAACAATTGATCATCAATGATCCTAATACACAAAATAATGACCTTGGTTGAGACTGCCGAGGTAAAACAGCCCACTCAATCCCTACCAATTCAAGATATTGTAAAGCACCATGATGCTCTTACTGATACTGCAGTGACTTCAGTGGTGAAACTCTCCACACTGTTGTCTGTGATTTGTCCTGATACCACAATCTCAGAGCCATTGAAGTACAGGCTAAAGCTGGTCTTGGTAAGGTTTGTCCCGCCTGTGTATTTAAGTTGAATATCAGTGAGGAGAGGGACGGCAACTTCTTCATAGAAGCCCTACAATACAAACAGAAACAAAGGGTTTAAATGCATTGAAACACAGAACAGATAAGCACTGAGGATGAATTCACAGCTGATTCTATGTCGTTCACCTGCAGCTGTAGATCAGCGTCCGAATCTTCATAAATCCTGCGAGCAACTCCACCATTTTCCAATGACATCTTTGTCAGGAAGTCAAAGTTAACATCATATCCAAAACCAAGACAATATAGGGGAAACTTTAGACCAATTGCCTCTTTCACATTGGCCATTATCCTCTCTATGTTAGTTTCACCTGTTTGAGAAGAAAATAAGTCGAAAAATAAGACTACCTACAATACATACTTGAAAATCATGACATTTTTTGAGTGATCAGAAAGCAATGGAATCATTGGACAATTTCATATTTCTTATTCTTTTCTCTTACAGACAAAGAAAAGAACCAAATTTGGTTATGATGATAATCTACTGTTCCTAACTGCACTTTTAATTAGGTCTTAAACCTTTTATTAACAGGTCTTCTAATTACACTGAGTGAACTAGTGCTAGGATAAAACACATTAGCTTGTGTTTGTCAGTGAATCTGTGCCTGAAGTGGGATCTCCATCAGTCAGCAGGATCAGGATGGAGGCGGTTCCTTCTCGTGGATGTCGATTGATCATGTCCACTCCTGCTAGAACTGCAGCGTTAATGTCTGTGGCTAAAGGAAGAACAAACATAGTTGTGTCACATTGAGGTACAGCTTTCTTACTCCCTATTTAGAGTTAGGAACTCACCTCCTCTATCGCTGATCTCCTTCACAAAAGATTTTGCAGTCTCCAGGTTTCCCTCGGTAGCTTTCAGGAGTTCATTCTTCCATGTTTTAACTTCACTGTCAAAAGTGATCAATCCAAAGTGGTCATCCTCATCAAGATCACCTAAAATCTTTAGCAGCGCCAAACGAGTCTAAAGAAAAACACTTTCTTTAGGTTTCCTTAAGTTATTCTTTCTTTATTACCAGCATTGTTAAATAAAGTAACTCCACAATTATTTTAAAACATAAATACCTGTTATTTTAACATATAAATGCACAATGCTGCAAGATCCTTCAAAAATGTTTTGCCATAAAAAATGCATTGCTTGTTATTTCCTTTTAACTGATTTGGCTGAACTTGACATTGACATTTACCTGATGTATTTTTCTGCCGTTCATAGAACCGCTCCGGTCAATGATAAAAACCACATTTTTGGGAATACGTGGAACATTAGAGGGTGCAAAGTAGTGGACAAAATAGCCATTTGACACCTGAGGGAAAACAAAAGTAAATTCTGAATATCTTTCAAGTCTTTTTACACAGTCAGTCTTTTAAAGTCATTTGGCAAATTTATTTTACTCTCATAAAGTATGTTATTGAAAAATGTACCATGACTTCTCCTGTATGATTTGATCTTTCTACATCGTATGTTATAAGCAGGTCACCATTCAGTCCATTTTCTCCACAGCTTTTACACTTGGTCTGTTGATCTCGAGTGGGGTAGAAGGTCACCCATGCCTGAAATGATCAGTTTGCTCATCTGGTAACTTAGTTTGAAGTGTAATAGCATAATGAGAACATTTAAGCTAAGTGTTTTACCCCTCATTTTAAGCTCTTACGTCTTTGTCTGCTCTGGTGGTTTTGATGGCATTGGCCAGATCATCGGTGCTTAAATCTCCTTTCACCTCCAAGAAGGAAATTCCTGGTTTCTCTTGTATGTGAACATCAATCTAACGCGAGTAAAATAAATATGATCTTTTTATCCAGCTTAATTGATGATCTATTTTCCTCTTTGTTTCTTCTCCTACCTTGAAGTCTGCCACCGGCTGCATCGGTTGGGCATTGATGAGTAGCTCATATTTGCCAAGTCGGCGCTTTAGCAGTTCTTCGTAGGTCAACTCAAAAGTCACTTTACTAAAAGCAGCCACCGTCACTGAAGTTTTAAAGTCTTCTAAAGTCCTTCCAACAGATCTGAAATAGAAATGAATCCTAGTATATTAGTAAACATGCTATAAAAACACATTTAATTGATCTATTATTTTTAATGTCCAGTACTTGATCAGTCCAGCACTTTCTCCTCTAGATACTGCTCGACTGTACTGTTGCTGAGCTTCCTGCTTTTCCTTCACAACACCATCATATATCTTCCCCTCTATGGTCCTATGGAGAAAATGACAATAACATCCTCTTAATATGTGCATCTTAGAGATATTGCATAAAATAATTTATAAATATTGATTTTGTTGTTGTTTAGCTGCATTAGCAGACATGACCTGGAACCAATATGCTACATTTTGCTACACTAACATGATTATCTCTACTTATATAACACAACTCATGTTTGCCTACATTCTGAATTTGCTGATGAAGGCATTCTTGGGTATCTTGACCTCGAACTGGATCTCTTGAGATTCATTCACTGTGTTCGCCACACGGCTTGTGATGACGGTTGTGGCGTAGCGACTGGTGACCGTGGAGTTAATGTAGAAGCTGTATATATCCACATTTTGTTTCTGTTGAGACATAAAATAGTACTATCAGATTGGATAGCACATTTACTCCTTTTTGTTTGGGATTGTTCAAATATTTACTGTTTGAAAATGGCATGGAGAAAAGGCCTTTGGACTACATCTCAGTGTAAACTATTGAGTAATAGATAGTTCTCTTTACTCAGTTTAAATAATACCCTGCTGTTCAAACGTCAGTAAGTTTTTTTTTTTTTTTAAGTCTTTCATGCTCACCATTTATTTGATGTAAAATACACTAAAATCAGTAAATTTGCTTTCCATCATATTACATTTTAAAATGTAATTTATTTCCATGATCAAAGCTGAATTTTCAGCATCATAACTCCAGTCTTCAGGGTCTCATGATCCTTCCGAAATCATTCTAATATGCTGATTTGCTGCTTAAGAAACATTTCTTATTAGTGTTAAAAAAGTAATAAAAAAACTGCTAAATTATTTTTGTGGAAAACATGAAACATTTTTTAAAGGATTTTTTGATGATGAAGTTTAAAACAACAGCTTTTATTTAAAATAGAAATCTTTTGTAACATTACAAATATCTAGAATGTCACTTTTGATCAATTTAATGATAAAAAGTATTAATTGACCTCAAACCTTTGAACATTTTATATTCAACATCTAATGAATAAATAAATCTAATTTGTCTGGACCTTCATCTCAAATACAAATAATGAATCTTTTATATTTTTTATCTTAAACTGAGCGTTGACCCTCACCTTCTTTACAGGTTGTTGTGAACTGGCTGAGATGAGAAAGACGCCCAAGAGAATCAGTCTGAGAGCTGCTCGATCCATCATGACCTGCTCAGAAAGCAGACCTCGAAACACACACTGCCTTTAAACTCCTGTCGACATCATGCAATTGGCTATTATTGACCGGATGAAGAAACCTCCCCCACTATTTTTAATTAGAGTCTCTTGAACCCCTCAAAAGTCAATATTGATGCATTTAGAAAATAGATTTGTAAATACTTAACACTCTGTAGAATTTTGCTGCTGCATTTTTATTTTATTATCAGACATGACCTCAAAAAATACATACTTTAGGCATAGAGAAATAATACTTAGAAAGGCACCAATCAAAGGGTTGCTATGTATACATACAATTTCTGGTGTGCAATTTAATAGCTATTTCATCACATGGTTTGCCAGCTAAAGCCCAATTGCATATGTGTGGGCAAAGAAAATCATATTGATAAACATTCAAAGACATAGCGCAACAAATAGCGAAAATTAATGAAATGGTGAGTAATTCCAGCACCCTAAAGCAGAGGCAAATGATGGCAAACATGGGAATTACATTGCTTTTTGTTCAACCATTTCCATATTGAGGTCAGCATGATAAAACATAATATAAATTCTTATGTAAATTTTGCTGAACTCTACAACCGAGTGACAGTGAAGTCAGAGAGCTCCCGCTGCGCAACAACCTGGAATGGTACAAGCCAACATCCAACAACAGGAGCAGAAGCAAGTCTGTAGTCCCTCACCTTCACCCTGAAATTAACAAGATACACTTAAAATGAATATGCCAAAATACATGGATGTTTTATAGATGTTCCATTATATGTTTGTTTTTTTGATTACCAAGATGTCTTCACTTCCTTGTCCTTTAACTTTAAAGTTGGTGTTTGTGATCCTGGGATCTCCTCATATTTAATATCAGCTTTTCCTTTAAATATTATCCACAGACATTGTTATTATTTGTCTTGTGTTGGTTTAATAACCACCATCATCATTTACAGACCATCTTTGCTATAAGTACAGATTAAGTGTCGCTTCATAATGTATAAATGATTGATTAGTGACACTCTTACCTAAAATTCCTGTCAAACCGACATTTTTTGGCTGCTGCCAGATGGCAGGCCACAGAAAAACGTCATCTTTTTTATGAAGAAGAATGACAACGCGTATGTTTCCCATGGTAACGTCCATTTCATTACTTTGTAGAATCAGAGACACACTGTTGACATAGAGTGAAGAACGATGACTATAACGTTACCGATAATGGTAAAGTTTTATTAATCATTCTAATTCTACAGTATGAGAATAGGGAAGTTCAATGATATTTACACATTTAATGATAGCTGACTATAGCGCAGTGAATGTTTATATTGTCAATGAATGGGACCCTAAATATCAGTTTGGCTTTAATAAGATTTTCCCAATAAATAGGCAAGAATAAACCTGGTGTCCTCCATGATTCCTGTTCTTTCCGGCAACATAGCACTTGAATGCGACGAGCTCGTATAATCACAACTTCAGAAGTGGGAAGCTAGGGAACTAGAAAATTTCTGATAGCACGTGAAGGCAGCATTAATATTCGAGTTCCCGAGTTGGACGGCAGGCCTGTCGCCTGTCGCCAGATGACACAATGTGCCCCTCTAATCATATGGTCATCGACAAACTTAATATTAAGAGCAAATAACATTGAAGGACAAGTTTGGTGTTTTACACTTAAAGCCCTGTTTTAAGATCGTTTCTGATGAGATATCGGACCAAGAGCATGTGTCCAAATTTTAATCTTAACCTTTCTATTTCATCAGAAACGATCTTAAAACAGGGCTTTCAAGTGAAAAATACCGAACTTGTCCTTTAATTCTTTGGATTTGGCCATTCACGTATTCCATAACGAACCGTCTTCAGCAGCATTTAGTTCACAGGTTTATGTGTATTTGGCGTGTTGTCCGGGGGGAGGGCTCCGAGCTCGGAATTTGGCCCAAACCCAGAGTACTCCCCTCGTGGTAGAAATAGTTAGAACTAAAAGTGTGGAGAAGGAGTGGTGGAGGGATGCTGATAAACTTAAATATTTACTTTAAGATATACTTATCTTATATTATCTGAACGTGCTCTTCCCGAACTTTGTTAATAAAACATCATTAAAAACGGCAGACGACAAAACTGCAGCGTGCTTATACAGGGTGTGACTAGGCCTTAACTGATAAATGCATTCTACCTACGTCAATATCCCAAAAACTGTGTTAAAAGGAGCTATAAATTAATATTTTGAAACAACATTGTTAAATTCTCAAAAAACCATTTGAACACAGTAGGCTATACGTTTTTTCTTAGTCACAAAATATAAAAAATATTCTTGCAGATTTATTCAACACAGTTTAAGCATATTACTGTTCATTCTCATGGTGGGTGTAGTCCTGATCCCATGAAAACTTCACAGTGTCCTGTCCATCAAAGTAGGTAATCTCACTAGTGCTGAGCAGCAGACGGTGATTAGTTTTGTAATGAATTGCAATCTGACTGAAGCCTTTCCCTGACTCAAGTTGCCCATTCATAGAAAACTCTGAAGAGTATAGAAAAACATCACAGTGAGATTGTGCTTGAATAGAGATGAAAAATTAAAAGCAATTGAATAATAATGTTCATTTAACTAAACTGTACTAGAAAATGTTGGATATCTGACCTGATAGGTCGTTTTGTAGGAGTCTGACTTTCTGAATAGGAACATCATAACAAAGTGGCTTAGCATTACCAGAAGATTTCAAAATCCTAATGCTCTTCACTGAAAAACCAAAAGAGAAAGAAGAAATGAAAATATGATGTCAGAAATGTATATGCACTAAGATAAAAAAAAAAAAAACATAAATAAGACATGGACATGGAAAAGTGTCTGACAAATGCCAGCTCGCCCTGTTGCTCCATCGGCACATATGTCAAGCCTTTTGGTGAAAAATAAATGTAGTGAGGTTGAACACTTTATTTTTATTCAACTCAAGTAAAAAAAAAAGTACCACAATTTAATTAGAAAGAAAGTTTTAAAAATCTTCTCAAGTACTGTAATGAAAGTATTTGTAATTAGTTACTTTCCTAACGGTAATAGAAAGGGATATGCAATACCTTTTTGCCCCATATTAACGCCAGAATGACCTAAACGAGCGCCATGCCCGGCCGCACCGACCGGCCCTGGTAAAACAGGAAAAGATTGTAAGAGTTTTTTAAATGTTTTTGAAAGTCTTTTATACTTAGTTATACTCACCAAAGCTGCATTTATCTGATCAAAAATACAGTAAAAAGAGCAATATTGTGAAATATCATTACAATTTAATATAACTCTTTTCTGTTTTAATATATTATAAAATGTAATTTATTCCTGTGATCAAAGCTGAATGTTCAGCATCATTACTCCAGTCTTCAGTGTCACATGATCATTCAGAAATCATACTAATATTATGCTTTGCTGCTCAAGAAACATATTATCAATGTTGGAAACAGTTGTGCTGCTTAATATTTTTGTGGAAACAAAATGATAAAACTGTTTTTTTAGGATTCTATTATGAATTTTAAAAAGTCTTTACAAAAAAAGTATTTACCTTTGCTCAATTTCACACATCCCTAAAGCATTAAAAATATCTCATTGACCCCAAACTTTTGAACAGCATAGCAAGTGATAAATTGTGTGGCAAATGCATATTACATAAAGTCACAATTTTCTCAAAATTGTGTCCTGAAGTTGGTCTTCATTTGTATGCCGATGACACTGTGGTTTATGTGTCCAGCAAAAGCCCTGCTGTTATCGGCAGTACACTGACCAAAAGTCTTGAGAAAGTGTTTAATTGGCTAAACAAATCCTGTTTAACACTTAATCTGAGTAAAACTAAGTCTATGTGTTTTTCGATAAGAACTTGGACAATAAATGACCTTAACATTAAAATGAATGGCGAACTCATCGATCAGGTAGAACAAGAAAAATATTTAGGAGTGATTTTAGATTCTCAGCTAAACTTTAAAAGTCATATCAAAAACATCTCAAGAAAAATGAAGGCCAGTATAAACTGTTTCAGAATGATCAGGAGCTGTCTAACATTTGAATGTGCTCATGTCTTTCTGAACACTATGATCCTGTCCCACCTGTCGTACTGCACCACTGTTTGGTCCCAGACCACCCAAACTACCCTAAGGCCTATTGAGAGGCTTTATAACCGTGCCATAAAAATCTTAGATGAAAAGCCCATTCGATTCCATCACTGTTCTCTTACGAGAGTATCTCTCGTACTGCGTAATATCTTACGCTATGGGGAAAACCTCTTTTCCACGAGATATTGAAGCCAAAAATTATCCTTAATTTTTTATCAATGTAAAACGCTTTGCGGCAGCATGCAGACATAGGCGAGGCAGCTCGCGCGCCTATTGGCTGCCCTGCGGCAAAAGCAGCAGCCTATCGAGAACGGCTCTGCGTGACGTCATGACCAATGGGGGCACTTCGCGCCCACTTCGTCACGTCCCGCCAGAAATGGCGTGGTCTCGCCCTATAAATCCGGTCGACAGGCTGATACAAACTGATTTTCATCTCTTCAGCGAAGCTCACGCATCGCTGGATCCAGAGTGAGAAGCCGCGCCGTCGACGCAAGCCTTCAGCGGGACGAGCCCTCGAGTCTGAAGTCGCTGGCCTTCACCTCGCCGCCTTCATCCGCCGTACCTGCTGCGCTTTCCGGCGTCTATATCCTTTACTCTGCTGAGAGTGTTTGTTCGCCGCTGCAACTCACACTTCTCCAAAACTCTAAAAGAGCTGCGTCTTTTTCAAGATGCCTTCCTGTGGCTCGTGCCGAGCCCAACTCAGCGACGGGGACCGCCATGTCATCTGCGTGTCCTGCCTGGGTGAAGATCACGCGGCTCTCGTGCTCGCCGACGGCGGATGCCATCATTGCGAGCTGCTGCCCATGGTGACTCTGAGGACTCGCCTGGCATCCTTCTCAGAGCCTGCACTTCTGCCCGCTGTGGTACCGCGCCGCAAGAAGCGCCGTGCTCAGCGCGCCCCCGAGCTCTCTCCTGCCCGCCAAAGCTCGCCGGTTCGCCCGCCAGCTTCACCGGCATCGCTCGAGTCGCTCACAGATGGACAGCAGCCGCCGTCTGCCGCCGCGTCCGCCCTTGAGCTCGACGAACCTACCGGGGCATGTTCTCTCCTGGCATCGGACAGTGAGGATTGGGCGAGCTCTGTGGACCCCCCCCCCCGCTACCCGCCAGCCCTCTGGGAGACGAGCCGGCATTGAAGCTGAGCTGATGCGTCTGCTCTCTCAAGCCGTGGATACCATCGGCCTCGACTGGGAGGCGCCCGCGCCACCACCGTGCAACAGGCTTGACGGTCGTTTTATCGGGAAAGACGAAGCCCCGTCACGGTCGAGATCCGCGCCCTTCCTCCCTGAACTTCACGAGGAAGTCGCGAAGTCGTGGAACGCCCCCTTCTCCGCCAGGCTGCGTACCTCTGTCTCTGCTGCATTCTCCACTGTGGACGGTGCGAAAGATAGAGGATACCTTTCTATTCCTCCTGTGGAAGCAGCTGTAGCGTCCCATCTTTGCCCGCCCTCCGCTGGACGGCACGCTCAGACGGCGCTACCATCTAAAGCCTGCCGAGTGACGTCAGCCATGCACGGACGCGCCTACACCGCCGCCGGGCAAGCAGTTTCAGCGCTGCACACGATGGCTGTCCTGCAGCTCTTCCAAGCCGACCATCTCCAAAAATTGGACGAGGAAGGACCGGGAGCGATCTGCGTGGCGGACTTAAAGGCCATGGTGCAGGTTAAACACCACTGTCGATTAATGGGTACATAAAGCAGTTAAGATATGTATATAAAGTTAGAAATGTCACCAAAATGGTGTTAAAGTCCAGTTTTTTAAGTTTTTGGTTAGTAACGGTTATTTTTTTACGCGACTCGGCGATGACGTCACATGAGGTAGACGCAGGCAGCGGCGCGCTTGGTTTACAGTTACAGTTCAGATGGTTCACAGCCGAGGAGATCGATGTTCTCGTCAGGGCCGTAAAAAAAAGAGAAGTGACATTGGGGATGGGACAAACCCACCCATATTAGCTTCGGTTAAACATGCATAATTATTTGGGTAAATGTGTACGCTTTATGCCTATTTTTCCTATCGTCATGAACACAACAATGATTTCACTCGTGTTTAAATAGTTTTCCTTATAATAATGTATCATTTGCAAAAAGTAAAATGCATCTGTGTATATGAGAGAATCATCTACAGTGTATGCGCGTTGTTTACACTCTGTATTATGGCCAAGCATGCGCGCTTAAAATAGCATCTGAATGTACGCGCAACGCGTCACTGACTTTAGACTAGGTTAGGGTGACCAACAGTTCTGTTTTCACGTCCTGTCCTGGCTGGGTTTTATTTTTAATTGTGAAAATGTCCTGGTTTTCAAAACTTCTGGGAAAGATCAGCTCTAAAACAAAACATAGATGGGGAAACAAGGAGGATGGGGAAGAAAAACAGGATAAAGAGGAAGACTAAAGATATGTGAGATGTCGATTGTGCAAAAAATGTAGTGAACGCGCCCATATCACAGTGCCCGCTTACACTACACGATGCGTGTCCCTTGGTTTCTGTAAAAACGAAACTAACACACATTCAGTCGGCGCGAGCCGACAGTGTTCTCAGTGCAGTAAATGTGCCCGCCATCCCGCGCCCACATTCTCTCACAAACACGCCGAATCCCACGGGGTTCGCCCCGCTCGCTTTCTCTGCACTACCAGTCATAGAGAAGCTGAGCGCGGCCAGGCTGCCCGCTGTGATCAGCGCGCCCCCCGCCTCGCACGCTGTAAACACAGCGTTGAGTTCTCAGCACACCGAGGCTCTCGAGCCGTCGTCATGCCGTGGCCAGAGCCCAGATTTCATTCTACCTCTAGCTATTCACGCAGATGCGTGGTCAAAGCTCCCCGGGGTATCAGAATGGGTGCTGAACACTATAAAGAGAGGCTATTCGCTACAATTCGCTCGACGTCCCCGCCGTTATACGGCGCACGTCGAAACAACGGTGAAAAACGAAGTATCACATCTACTTCGAGCCGAGATAGCGAAACTACTGAGCAAAGGGGCTATATGACCTTTATCTCAGGCTCAGAGCGAAGGGGGCCTATACAGCAGATATTTTCTGGTACCGAAAAAAGATGGAGGTCTCAGACCCATTTTAGATCTGCGACAGCTGAACAGAGCACTTGTGAAGCGCCAGTTCAAAATGCTTACAACCAGGAAAATCCTCGCGCAAGTTTGCCAAGAGGACTGGTTTATGTCAATAGATCTGAAAGACGCCTATTTCCAGATACAAATAGCGTCCCATCACAGGCGATTCTTGAGATTCGCCTTCGAGGGCCAGGCATATCAATATACAGTCCTGCCGTTCGGCCTGTCCCTAGCACCCCGTACATTCACGAAGTGCATGGACGTGGCTCTCGCACCCCTGAGACTTCGGGGCATGCGAGTTTTGAACTACTTGGACGATTGGCTGATTCTAGCTCGATCACACTCAGAGCTCATAGAACACAGGGCCACATTACTCGAGCACCTCGAGAATCTGGGCCTCACAGTCAATTGGGCGAAAAGCTCACTGTCCCCCAGTCAGAAAATTTATTTTCTGGGAACAGTGCTGGACTCGCTATCCATGACAGCACGCCTGTCACCGGAGCGCGGACTAGACATTCAGCGCGTCGCGAAATCCTTCCGCCACGGCTCTATACTCCCGCTCAAAAGGTTTCAGAAAATGCTGGGCCTGAT